ATGTCATTCAACGTCTCTAATCATCGGCTGCTATCGTCTCGCGGATCCCAATCAAATAGTCTGCATCTACCGACATGGCTGAGTCCACTTGTCAGTGACTTGATGAATTGGTGTCATGTTTTGGTGTTGCCGCCCCTAGCTTTCTTCCATCCTACTCCTACACCATAAAGGGTCTCTCGAAAAAAGTGCATCGTTTTCTGTATTTCTGGGCAGAGAATATTTGGTCTTCACTAGGAATCAAATGCATTTCAATTTCTCGTTTAACGCTTGTTGTCTACTCACTACGGTAAAAATCGAACTAATCGTTTTTCCAATGATTGGAAGTAGAATTATTCTGTTGAATAGCTAATTAAAAAATTCTTCTATAAACGAATGGATCTCTTTTCAATCAATTTATTATCAAGCTTTATATATATATATATATATATATATAGCTGGATTCCTTTAAGCAGAAAGAGAAACCTCATTCACTCTTTATGTCATCGGATATGTAGTACGGAATTCATTGACTAAGAACTCTCATTCCTCAGGAAAACTTTGACGAAAAATGGCCATCCAGACCGCTTCATTGATAAAAAAATGAGAAGCGGTTGTGACAAGAAATCTCGTTATTCCGTCCCAAAGAAAAACCTCTATATAAGTTTGGAATTTAAAGGTGATCGAACACCTGATGTAATTAAAAATCGTTTAACGACAGCGATTAAAAGAACATTCAGTGTGGCAAAACTGCGAATAACGTTCAGTTGCAGGAAATTTCTTTCTGTATCCATAAAAGATAAGCTTCCACGTCTGGTCGACTCCATGTGAATCTACCAGTTCACCTACTCTTGTGGAACAAGAGCCAGCGCTCACTTTCAACTCCGATACAGGAACCCGCCTCAGTTTGTTTCTACAAGGGTGATAGGAAGACAGTTAGGAGTTCTATACTCGAACAGCTAATTGACTGTAATCATTCTAAGGATCCATAGTTTGATTTTAAGGTTGTATATATGATTCATTCAAATCTACTTAAATTTCTTCATATCTAACTCTTAAAAATAGCCTGAGTTCTTACCATCCATGAGCTGAAGCCAGAACTAGGCGTACAAAAGTAGTACGTTCTATCGCTATCGTTACCTTGGCCATTATTATTATTACTGCATTTCTCCGTTACTTATGTCTCATATACTCATTGTTTTATTCACAAATACTCATCATATCACTTTATTTATTTTTTACACCTCTATGACTTTTACTTACGCCTGTTACTCCTCGTGGAGGAGCCCACCAGCACTCTCCATCCAACCGTGTCCTGGGCAATCCTTTCCAGTTGTTGAAAGCCGAGATTCTATGACCATTAATTATTGTAACAAGAACATTTCAGCCATCTTACTATATTCACGTTATAATTTGTTACTAACTTACTAAGTCTGTTGTTACTATTCCTATTACGTAATCTAGTATCACAATTTTTTCGATTACGTCATTTCGGTTATTCCTTGTTCACATTTCCTCACGGAACTAGTACTTTAACAAAACGATTTTCATATATAAATATGATTATACAGCTTGATAATAAATTGGTTAAAAAGAGATCCTTTCGCTAAATTTCGTATTTTTGAAATTTCAAATTGTTCATTAATATAGTGTTTAATTGTTAAGGGAAACAACCTAAACAAATACAAAAGACTTCATACCATTACCCTAATTATGACTAATCGTTATGTTTGTAAACAGATGAAATTATTGATTTGCATTATGGATTATTGGGTTGTCATAGTTACATGAGTTGATGTATAGTTAACTAAGTAAGTACCTAATAGAGAATAAATTCACGTAAATTTAAACACACCCAACACAGAAATTAACGTAGAGAGTTTACAGATTTACTTTAACCTTACAAATAACCTTATGAATAATAAACTAGAGGCAAATTAATAGTATTGTATTTAATAGTTGGATTCATGAATCGATTAAAGCTAAACTATCATGGAAAATCTAGAAGCATTGGATGGCTGTTTCTTCCCAATATGAGACTCCTCAGTAGTGCGCATCCACGATCCTGCACGTGGAACTTGTACCCAAGGCTTTCGGTTTCGCGCGTATTGCTGAGGTACACCACACTAGGACGATACGGCCGCTCAATGCTTCCAGGTTTTCCATGGTGATCTAACATCAATTGATTCATGATCTCAATCAAAAACTTAATAATCTTCATAGCTCTATACTGAGTAAGCCCAGGTGGAAAGTAAAAATACTAGTTATACCGTTTTATAAAACAACAGAATGAACTGTCTTAATCAAATACAATATGTGATAGTAAAAGTGAATAGAGTCGATATAAACCAAGGAAAATCATATGGTGATTTCATCGTATAACATTGAGCCACATAGAATGAAGGTAGAATAAAAAAACCCAACTTGCAATGAAATGACTTTCAAAAGTAATTTAGGAGGTCTGATCACCAGTTTGTTCATAAATCAATCTATAACACTATTGTTAACATCATACGTATTTATTATTTACATAAACATTGATACAAGGAGGCACCAAATAGATATGCACCATATAAACCATTCGATTTGTATGGGGGCTGGGATACTGCCTGGTTGCTCAAACTGAAGTAGGTAGTTTTCTTAGGGGGCCATACTAGGAGCCTTCAACCTAAAGGTCTAATCCACAAGGCAGTGGAGCAACGCAAGGAAACGCAGTCTCATGGTGGCTGGTGACCAACAATCAGTTTATACTCCATTTGTTTCCTCAGGATACTGGAGCCCATGTGTTATGACTGTGGACTGCAGATTAGAGGGCAACGAATTATCGATCGGACCAGAGACGCGTAAACACGTAAGAACGGCCTAGAGTTCTTATTGGCCCCACTTCCCTGTCTAGCCCAGCCAGTTGAGTCCAGAACGTAAGTCTCAGCCTCTGAGGTATGAATCGTTATATTTCAAGCATACTCTGTTTATATACCAATTAAGCAGACCACATCGTACCATAAAACAGAAAATAACATTTCGCACGTGAAATAAGTATTGAGCAGTAGGAAAATGACACGTGAAATAAATATTTACCAATAGGAAAATGATACCATCTCAAGTCCAAGAATAGCGTTAGACTTAACAGAATAATTTTTGGGATATTTTCCTGAATATCCCAACACCATGTGCACGATTTGTTTGGAATGAGGGTTTTCTAACTCCTGTAGGTGGATCCTCCATATCCGCCAACCTAGTTAATGCGCGAGACATTCGCTTTTCGTACTCTCAATTTCGTAAATAACACCAACACCACGAGAAGGCAGTAGCTGTATGCACGTGACCACTTGAGAGCATTTGGAGAGGAAGAGCTGGCTCTCCCCACACTTGACCGTACCTGGGCATTTGGGGGAACATCATATGTAAATAGTGCCTGTACAACATTTTACGAAGATGAAAACAATTCCTTGTGAAACAACTAGCCTTGTAAATACTATATATATACTTCCTAAAAGCAGATACTGTATATGCATAGTTGATCTTTTTACTCTAACTGTTTTTATCCACGGAAAACGTAAGATTTTTACTTACAGACAATCTTTACAGTATTAGCCCCCAAATGCCCTGGTACGGCCGAGAGTGGGGAAAGTCCGCTCTCCCTCTCGAAATGCTCTCACATGGCCACGCGTATATAGCCTCTGCCAGGGAAGTCCTACTCACTACCTTCTCGTGGCGGGGATGTTGTTTACGAAAATGAGAGGACGAAAAGCGAATGTCCGGCGCTTTAACCGGATCACAAACCAATGGTGCACATGGGCTGGCTCCAGTATCCTGAAGGAACAAATGGCGTATGAACCAATCGTTGGTCACCGGCTTCCATGAGACTGCATCTCCTTACTATGCTCCACTGCCTTGTGGATTAGACCTTCAGGTCGAAGGCTCGGGGTGTGGCCCTCTAAGAAAACCACCTACTTCGGTTTGGGCACCTAGGCAGTATCGCAGCCCTCACACATATCGAATGAGATTTGTGTGGCGCACATGTATTTGGTGCCTCCTTGTACCAATATCTATGTGTTAAAGTAATAATAAATAATGATAATAATTTACAGTATTAAGAATGAAGAGATTATGCAGTACACTACTTGTTCAAAATGTGTTTAAGTGAAATAGCAGTGGATACACTGGAATCACTGAAGTATGTAAGTATTGGGTGAGATACTAATTTATGAACAACCTTTGAGCGACGTTAAAGTGACCTTGAAAGTGTCCACCTAATAACTGAGACTAAATGAGTGTTATGATTCAGTGTGAGGAATCATAATTATGATTTACAGTTGATGGTTAAGGATTAGGAACTAGATTTCCGATTTTCATCACGAACTGACATCAGCTATAATGCCAAATTTCTATTTAGCCAAATGAATAAATTTCGCGCCAAAATCCGAAACCTTTTATCCCCGAATCTGATTGGTTCGTACATAAATTATAGTTTCGCGATAAAAAACCTACTGAAGCCGTGATTTAATGAATTACGTCAATCAAAATGTAAAAGAATTTCTAGATTTAATTTCACTTGTATCTTCCCATGGTTATTTAGGATTGCAATTGATCAGTCGCTTGTTGGTATATGTGCATACTGTGTGGATTACCCCGATATAGCCTTACGCCGCAAGTTTTTTTAAACAAACATAGATAGTGGTTAGCAGTGAAATCCAGTTTGACGCTCGTTTCGTATTATTTGATACTCGTCACCCGGATATACCTGCATCTCAAAGTTGATGTTCACTCTGGGGATCGAACGCTGTACCATTCGCAAGTGGATATCAGAACTCAGTGGCTAAGTGGATAACGCGATAGTGTTTGAAGTGAACGGTACTGAGATCGAGTCCCGGAGTGAACATCAACTCTGAGATGCAGGTACATACGGCTGACTAGTCTAAAATAGGACGAAACGCGCGTCGGACTGGATTCCACTACTAGCCACTATCCATCTTTGCATATAATTTCTAGATTTTATCAAAGTTAATAACAGAAATAACATGTAAGCATAATGATGTATGTACAAGAAACTGAATCACCACGGTTACAGTAATATAAGAAAAAATAGATATAAAGAATGAATACACCTTTTTTGTAAATTCTTACATCTGTAATGTTTTGATAAATAAGGTTCACCTTGATAATGTTTTACATTGAATGTATTAATGACTGTAGGTTACAAAATGTTTAAATGAAATTCACAAAAAGATCAAATGTTGAATGAGATTAGTTTATACAGTGGATTTCTCTCTTGGTTTATTAACTGTATCTAGATGAGTTTTGTAATCCAATTGAACTTCGTGCTAATTCTGCCTGGAATAATGTTAAGAACAGTTTGAGAGCGAGGTAACGACATATTACAACCATAGATACTATAAATACTTCTGTATTGATAAACATGTATATATGTGCACACTGCTGAGGAGTCTCATAATAGGACGAAACGGCCGTTCAATGCATCCAAGTTTTCCATGATAGTCTAGCCTCAATTAACTCATAAGTTCAACCATTAAAATATATATGTATATATGGGTCACATTAATTAAAGCTCCTTATAGCTAAGTCAATATCATCCTGTAAATGGTACAGAAATAATATGACCCAAATAGTTCCATACAGCGAGACTATAATTTATGAACGAGCCAATCAGATTTAAGGATAACAAGTCTTGGATTTTGACGTGAAATTCATTCATCCATTCGTTTAAATAACGTTTTGGCATTTTTGCTGATATCAGTTCGTGATGAAAATTATAAATCTAATGACTAACCGTAACCATCAGTTGTAAATCATAATCCTTATTTCTCACCTTGCTTTATGACCCTTATTGAGCTCCAGTAATAGATAGACATTCTCAAAGTTACTCTGGCGTCGATCAAAGCTCGACCATAAATTATAGTCTCACAATTCGCACAGGATGTACATATGTCAACATAATACTGATCAACTGCAGTCCTAAACAACATTGGGAAGATACAAGTAAAACAACATCAAGTGAATTTAAACTTCACCCCATTGAACAAGCAGGTGGCTATCAGCATTTAGTAGCTAAGTGGATAACGCGATGGCGTTTGAAGTGAACATCAACTTTGGGATGCAGGTACATCCAACTGATGAGTCTCAAATAGGGGAAACGCGCGTCAAATTGGGTTCCACGGCTTACCGAGTGTTTCGTCCAGCAAAGTTGTCTGAACTTCTTCAGGATAATAATCAAAATTATCATTAAACTGAATGATTCGGAAGGATTATTTAAACATATGAACAGAATTTCGGAGAACATTAAGCTAACAAAGGAATTAGAGTCCAGTGATCATGAACTAGCGTTTCTCTATCGTTTGTTTGAACGAAGACATAATGATAATAAGTTGAAAGTAAACTTATTCAGATAATCAACACATTCTGAGAGATACTTATAATATGGTTCAGCTAATGCGTTTTGTACGGAACTCACAGTTGTAATAAATTTAATTAACAGAAGTATTAATCTCGTTACAGATAAAGAAGACCAATAGGTTGAATTGAATAGAGTTTTGTCTATGCTTAGGGATAATAATTACTCCAAAGAGTTTTAAAGAAGATTATTAGAAATGAAAAACTAGAATGTATACCGAAAGATTGGAAGTCCACCGTGGTCATCCCATACTGTAATGAAACATCGGATGAAATCAAGAGGATTCTAAACAAACATGTTATAAGGGTGTAGTTTCAGGAATGTGACACCATAAGATTGGCATTAGGAAAGGTTCCCAAAGGAAGAACAACACAATGTTGTCTATGAGATCAACTGTCATCGATTGTAATGCAGCTTACGTGGGAGAAACATCAGGACAATTGAATGCAAGGTTGAAGGAATACAAACAGTGTTTGAAAAATATTTCCAAATCTTCGTTTGACTTAAAGAAACCTGAGAATAAGTCGGCGATAGCGTTACATGCATTGGAAACAGAACACAAGATCAATTTCGAAAGGACCAAAATACTTCAGAAAGGTTTTAACACTCATAAGGGAAGACTGATAGCAGACTCACTGTATATATGGGCGAACAAGAACATCCTGGACCGAAAGGATAGTATTTAAGTAGCAACTATTTGGCAAATATTTGTTAATAAGTAACTGGATCCCTTCTCTATCCAATCTGTTCATATCACATACATCGTTATTCTGACTGAAATTATTGTGAGTTATTATAGCAATACACAATTATGTATTTAATGATTCTCATTTTACATGCACATCATTGATTCAAAAACAATTTTTCAACCTTCAACTTGTACTTTTATTCTTTCTTCATATAACAACAAATGTAACACCGATTATCAACTATTAATAACTCAATCTTACACACGCACAAATCATTTAGTCATTGTGAACTTTTTGCATGTAACCAACTCATAATATTCTATTTACTAAAATCAACATCCAAATATGGTTGGATTAGCGCAGCATAGATTTGATTGTTGAACGCTATATATATTTCTTTGATGATCTTGATTTCGATTATTACACTGAAGAAGTCCAGACAAGTTTGATGGACGAAATGTTGGAATTATTTTAAATTTCAATCACTGAGATTACTTCAAATATAATGACTTATATATACTCAGGGACCAATTTTTGTCAAACTATTCGTTCTAACATTGACGAATATTCGTATGAATAATGATAATAATAGTAAATAATAATATCTAAGATAAATTCACTTGGTAATGTTTGTTTGAATCTTCCTGTTGTTTACTTGAATATTCCCATTCATGTTTAGAACTGCAATTGATCAGTCTCGTGTTGGTATATGTGCATATTGCCTTAGTTCACAAACATCATAAGCAAAGAAGATAGTGGCTAGTAGTGGAATCCCGTTTGACGGGTGTTTTGTTCTGTTTGGGACTCGTCAGCTGTATATACCTGCATCTCAGAGTTGTTGGTCACTCTGGGACTGATCAATCGCAGTATTAAATAACAGAGGGAATATACAAATAAGCAACACCAAGTGAATCTAAAACTTCAACCCATTGCACCAGCAGGTGTCTTTCAGAACTCAGTAGCTAAATGGATAACGTGATGGCGTTTTAAGCGAACGGCATTGAGTTCGAGTCCCGGAGTGGACATAAACTCTAAGATGCAGGTACACTGTCCATCTATGAATACCTAAGACAGATTCAAGTTATTGAATTTCAATTACATTAAGTCTTGAAACGTCCGAATTATGTATTTCTAATCATTGGGATATCACAAAAATATATATAAGAGGAAAGGTTACCTATACACTTCTGAAATTACATAATCCCATAATTAGGATAAACGTTGATAAGATTGACTCTTAAGTTGTTTAAGGTGTTATGGATAATTGAACGTATTGTTTATGTACCAGAGGTTGTGTTTGCTTTTTGGTGAGACTGTAATTTATGAACGACCTTTAAGCGACTTTAGACTGACCTTGAGAGTGTTCACCTAATAACGAGGACCAAATGAAGGCTATAAACCTGTGTGAGGACTTTGAATTATGATTTACGGTTGATGGTTAAGGTTAGGCATTAGATTTAGAGTTTTCATTACGAACTGTCATCAGCTATAATGCCAAAACAGTATTTAACCAACTAGATGAGTGGACTTCGCGCCAAAATCCGAGACCTGTTATCTTATACCTGATTGGTTCATCCATAAAGATTCAGATAGCTATTAATTAGGAGATTCAAAGTTCGATAATTTTCAACAAACAATTACTTAGACTAGAGATTATAACAAATAATTGATTTACACTGACTACGACTCGCTTGCAGGTAAATGAGCTAGAATCCAGTTGCTGACCATCTTATTATTTAGCCCTAGTAAGTTAACATTTCATTTTATTATTATTATTATTATTATTATTATTATTATTATTATTATTATTATTATTATTATTATTATTACATATCTTTCTCTGATCATGTGAGTGTGAACAGTAATATATCCCCTGTTGTTAAAATGCATTATAGTGTTAACATGTGTGATTGAAATCTTATTCGTTTCAGCTAATCAACATATGCCCACTAGTGATTGGCTTCAAGAGGTATTTCCTGGAGTTCTTTTGAGAAGCAGTGACCAGTGAAGTTCAACCGGGTCTGTTGTGAGATAGTAACTTACTGATGACCATGATGGATGTGTCGCTCAATTTCATGGATTAGTTGAAGTTAGACATTAACACAGTTGGATGCCGGCCATCTCACTAGTCTAGAGGTTAAGCGTTTACGAGCGAGATCGATAGGTCCCGAGTTCGAATCTCACGAGGTGGGATTGTGGATGCGCAGTGGTGAGGAGTCCCGCAATAAGACGAAACGGTCGTCCAGTGCTTCCAGGTTTTCCATCGTGGTCTACCTTAAATTGACTTATGATCTCAACTACTAAAATTTCTTATTACTTTTTATTAGTAACTGAACAAAACTATCTTGCTTTGATGATTTAAAAGACAACAGTTCAAAACAAAATTAACAGAATTACCTGATGTTGTCTATAAGCTATTCGTTCTTTGGCAAGGTAATTCAATGATAACTGTTCAACATAATCAGTTATTTTATGCCTAGCTATACATATGAAGTAGATCATGAATATAAGTGGTATAATTGTGAGGCCTAATAGTAATGGACCAATAGTTTGACCGCGGTTAATTGTGTAAAATTCCATACCGATTACGTAATGCAGTATGGTTAAAATTATCCCAATAAGTAATAATATGATACTGAATATAGCTAGAATAGTAGCCATAAAACAGCCACATCTTGCTGGACCATTGATTAACGGATCAGGTGACCATACACAACAATCACTATGTACACCGTCATTATAAATAACATGACATGAGTTTCTGTTCATTGGTGTAGCTAAAGAATATAATTGATGCGGTCGAATCACTTTCTGTTCTTCTAATGGAATTTCGGTAGTTTTCAATAATTCTTCAGGTTTACTGAGTGGATGTAGATTATTCCGTGTTTTCATGAAATACAAGTTCTGAAATCCGAAAAAGTCACTAAATGTTGAAATTTATAGAAACCATTCATTGAGTAACTTCATACACTTAGTTCTCTTTATCATCTTGAAAATGAGTAAGAACAATGAATCGAACAGAATAACATGAGTTTATTATATCTCGCTAGGTTCTTATCAACTGATTACAACCTAAAATAAATTAAAATCAATATTATGGTAAAGGTTTTACGTACTTATAACAGCAAACATGGATATGTATCATCATAATGAAGTACTGAGATCAAAGACATCTAAAGAGTAGTGCAAATTAATGTAATAAACGCGTGAAGATTCTGGATGGTCCAACGAAGTAACAAGGATTCATAGAGCTAGAGTAATTCATTGATAATGTGATGAAGTAGTTGAAAATAACTCCACCTGTAAATCTTCTAGGTTTAATGTGGGTTCCAAGCCCGGGTGAATGAGCACGGTTGAGTGTGGGGTTGGCAACTCCACCTCGTAGAAAACAACCCTGCCAAAAGAACGTTAACCGGATTAAACGAATTCAATCATTTAAACTCTGTCCTGTTAGTTGAAGGAATAATTATAACGCTTCATGCTGAAAGCTACGAGGCTGATGCTTCTTCTAACTACCAAAGCAACGATTAACATTGTGTTGGGGACGATAGATCCCCAAACTCATATTTTTAAATTTTATCGCATCGATCAACTTATTGATTAAATGTTTAAATATTTGTATTGGGGTCAATTGATGAACTGATCGATTAAATGTTTGAATAGCAGTCAATAGATGAACTATCAATTCAATGGGCAAATAGGTCAATTTATGAACTCATTGATTAGTGTTTAGAAATTTTCTATGACAATATCGATTATATATATTATATATATATGTTTTAAATTGTGTTTGAGTGCTTGCTTGCTCGCTCGCTTCTGGCTGTTGCAGAATATATTTTCCATACCAAGCCTGGACTTCTTCTTCTAGATAGCGGGGCTGGGACGCGTCAATAGTTAGATCACTGGTCTTTGGTCACTGAGTATTGTTCTCGTTCGCAGTTTAAGTGAACTCGTGAAGTTTCAAACCTAACACATTGATATATGGAATGTCTGGACAATGTGGAAGACTCAGAGGACAGTTGATAGACTCAAATCTTTTGGGGTCATTAGTCGACAGTCAAATTACTTCCCCAAATTCGTTCAATCTATGATCATCAAACGTCTTAAAAAGGACTTAGGTGTCCAAAAGGAAACAGTTGCGAATCTTTCTTTATCATGATGACTTTAACATCACTCTAGCAGTTGTTTTCCTCACATTGATTTCACTGCTTATTTCAAACTCAAAAGTTTATTCTTAACAGACTGTTCTCAACTTACGTCTGTTGCTCTCAATGAAGTATAGGCCGACCAGCATTCTCAAACCCACTCTGTCCTGAACCTTTCTTTCTAGCTCTATACAACTCCATTTCTAGGCGTAATGTGTTCTTCGGTCTTGAGGGTTTCAAGTGAGGTCTCACCTTGTAACGCACTTGGGTGCTTTCCTCAATGTGTAACCCATCCACTTCCAGAGCTTCTCCCTGATTTCTTCCTCCGCTGTGATCTGGTTTGTTCTCCCCACAGTAGGTTGTTGCTGATAATGTCTGGTCAACGGATCCGAAGTGTTTTGCGTAGACAGCTGTTAATAAACACTTGTATCTTCTGGATGATGGTCTTTCGTAGCTCTTCAAGTTTCTGCCCCATACAGTAGAACTGTCTTGACATTTGTGTTGAAAATTCTGACTTTGGTGTTAGTTTACAGTTGTTTTGAGTTCCAGACGTTCTTCAGTTGTAGATATACTGCTCTTCCTTTGCTAATCCGCGCCTTTACATCCACTTCTGATCCACAGTGTTCGTCAATGATGCTGCGCAGAAATGTAAAGATTTTACATCCTCAAAAGCTTCTCCGTCAAATGTGATTTGATTGGTGCATGCTGTGTTGCATTTCTCGAATTATGCTACTCTCAATTATTATTAATTTATGTTCAACTACCACTTCACATTATCAATTAATTACTCTAGCTCCATGACCATCGGCTTTCATAATGAAGCGTTATAATTATTCCTTCAACTAACAGGACAGAGTTTAAATGATTGAATTCGTTTAATCCGGTTAACGTTCTTTTGGCAGGGTTGTTTTCTACGAGGTGGAGTTGCCAACCCCACACTCAACCGTGCTCATTCACCCGAGCTTGGAACCCACATTAAACCTAGAAGATTTACAGGTGGAGTTATTTTCAACTACTTCATCACATTATCAATGAATTACTCTAGCTCTATGAATCCTTGTTACTTCGTTGGACCATCCAGAATCTTCACGCGTTTATTACATTAATTTGCACTACTCTTTAGATGTCTTTGATCTCAGTACTTCATTATGATGATACATATCCATGTTTGCTGTTATAAGTACGTAAAACCTTTACCATAATATTGATTTTAATTTATTTTAGGTTGTAATCAGTTGATAAGAACCTAGCGAGATATAATAAACTCATGTTATTCTGTTCAATTCATTGTTCTTACTCTCTTCGACAAAATTATTTAATTGAACGACAATGTTTCCTCTAATTTCAGATCAACTGGATAGTCATTCTATATCTGAACTAAGTGAATAGCTTCTTTATTCTTGCTTAAAACATTTGAACAGCATTTATGTCTAACACCACAGTAGATATCATTCAATGCATCGACGCCTCACGAGTAGCGTAAAGTCATTCCAGTCAATAAATATCTATGAAACTGAATTTAATGAATTCGTGACATAATAAACCATAGTTAATTGTATTCATTAGATACCTATCCTCAACTTCAATTCGGTCGACTTTACAGATAACCTTTTCTCATTATAAACTATTTATGATATTGGTCAGTTTAAAATAGGATGGATTAAATAAAATTGTTTTATTCTTCGCTTATCTGACAGATAAATTAAATTCATCGATGTATTATTTACTTGTTTCAGGAAGGGTTTGTTGATGTTTCCATTTGGAAATTAATATAAAGATGGAGGATATTTATCTGTCTAATAACAATATATGATAGTAGTGTTATCATGTGCATTAACTTGACTTGAAGATCATGAATTGTTGTACCCATCCTTACCTGTTGACCAATTCCGTGTCGTGTAGAGACAGGTATCTACCTCACTATAATGGAAGACGGTCGCGAAATTTCGTGGATTGGTTGAGGTTAGACATTAACACCGTTGGATACCGGCTATCTCAGTGATGTAGAAGTTAAGCGTTAGCGCGCGAGACTGAAGGCCATGAGTTCGAATTCCGTGAGTGGAATCGTGGATACACACTGCTGAAGTCCCACAATAGGACAAAAAGGCCGTCCAGTGCTTCCAGGTTTTCAGTGGTGGTCTAACATCAATCGGTTCATGATTTCAATCAAAAATTTAATAATCTCTTCACCCTTATACCGATAATTAAATTTTTTATAAAAGTTTGTTGTCACTATGAGTAGAATTCAGTCCATTTAAAAAAAAGAATATTAAACTAAACTACTGGCTGATAAATATATATAGTATTTTGTTACCATGAAAATGCCCCGCATCATAAATCGATGTACCATCTTAAAAATTGTCAACAAATTGAAGGTGTTAGTGTGATGTATACTACTGATGTCGATAGATATATGTAGTAGTATGTATCATCAATCGAAAATGAAATACCTGATAGCAGAAGGTTAAGAAGATCAAAGAAAAGAGAACGAGAACAGAGAATGGTTGGTATGGAAACGAATGAACAACAAAGTCCGGGACGATTGATGGATATTTTGCAAATGAAGTATTTAATGTAAGGTTCCTAAATTTCACTAAGTGATTCTGTAATTTTGTATTCAAATACATTTGATTGTCCATAATTGTATTCTCGTTTTTTACATCAAATGCTTATTTAATGATACTTTGACATTATTTAGAGGGAAAATACTATGTAAATCATTTCAGATGACAGTATATCAATAAATTAATCATTAAATTTAACTTTAATGACTGAAGTTTTCAACCTTATTGAATCAATAATAAACTAGGACTTTTCTTTCGACTTATGTTCAGAGGGCTTCCTCCGTTAAACAATAAATATCATGCATTCTAGTTCCTATCACTTAGCTATGTGGATGTATTATATTGTTTGATCGATAAAGATCTACCAGTACTAAAAACTAATTCGTGAATTGGTTGAAGCTAGACATTAACACCGTTGGATGGCGGCCATCTCAGTGGTCTAGGGTTTAAGCACTCGCTCATGAGGCCGAAGTCTCTTGGGTTCGAATCCCGTGTGTGGGATCGTAGACACGCACCACTGAAGAGCCCCAGACTAGGGCGAAACGGCTGTCCAGTGCTTCCACGTTTTTCATGACGATCCAGCTTTAATTGAATAATGGACTCAACTACTAAATTAATTCTAAATAGTCAATTTTGCATAGTCAACTAATTAGTTAATTGAATTTATGTTTAAATTAAACTAAATCATTCATAAAAAAGTGTCCAGACTTACTATAATAATGTAAACGTATATACAACACTAATAAAATCACAACTACCCAACTCAGAATATGTTTGTTTTTCTGACCAATCGTTATCAAGTTTAATAAGCCAATCATTAATCAGTAGAGACAATAAGATTAACTGTATACATAACTATTAGAGTTTTGTTTGATCCACCTCCAAAGATCCACTACAAAGTTGGTTTTATGGACGTTTGACTTCTGGTACATATTGTAAAAAGAGCTCATCGAAGTTCTTTCCAGAATCCTTTTTATTATATTATAAAACCATTAGTGATGATTGTTTAGAGTCCCTGCTACGTCTAGCACTAAACCTATCTTTAAATTTTTGATAGTTGTATAGATATTTTGAATATACCGATTAAATCCAAGAAAATTCCTTCAGCGTAGAAATCCTTTACAACGACTTCATGAGTGCTGTTAGAGGCATGAGGGTAGTTATCGCTTTCCGGTCGCCTACGACGATAGTTCTCCCAGAAATACCTGAAAATGAAATCGGCTCAGAGTCAGTCTTAATGACCCAAACACGACTAAACTATCCGGCCCAGAGAACAAAACTCTATCAAAAAAGACGGGGAAAAATACAATGAATATTTTTTTGTAGCAACTAGAAGCCTATATGGAGCGTGTCATTCAGACCCGCATACACAGTTCTTCACAGTATTGAGGGCATTACAGAACAATTTCAACAGGTACATCACACCTCGTGTGTCTAATGGTGATGTCTCGGAACCTCGCAAACATGGTAAAAAGGCTATTCCCAAGTGTAAGAATCTAACTGATCGACAACGGCTAGGTCAACCTTTCAACAATATCGATCTTCACCATGTCTCAGGAACAGACATGTTACGAATGTAAGAGGTCACTGGGCAAAGGAACCTTGATGATGGCCTGTTTGGATAACTTTTTTCTCTAAGCTTCCACAACAGGTTCACGCAGTGATTGTCTCCTTTTACAACAACGCTGTAGATGAGCTGGTTGCATCCACTGACCAAGATCACCGGAACTACGAACAAAGAGATTTTTTCATTCCAAGTAAAACATCAAGCCACACGAAACGACGTTACAGAGCTTGTTCGTGCTCTGACCTGTTACATTAGTAATCGTCGTGACCGTAGATGATCTCAAACTCCTCTAAGTAGTATTTCACGAAAAAAACCTGTCTCTAGATCACGAGAGACAGATTACCCTGATTGATGCTAGTATCATAATCAGTACGTAAGGTCTCGATATTGTAGAAAACCCTGTAATTTTCCGATCTCCAAACCGACTGACACGGAAAACACTTCGGAGAACTTCACAGTCGGCACGCGTTAACCGTAGCCGGTGAACATAACCGTCTGTTATGCATCACTGATGTGATTATGGAAGTTCGTTGCCTCGTCGACACTGGCACAGGAGTTAGCATTCTTCCAGCAAATCATAGCGATCGACCACGCAAAGCAGTTTCAAATTACAGGCGGCAAATGGGTGACCGATTGCTACGTATGGTAAGAGGTATGTTTAACTTAACGTGGGTTTACGCAAACCTATTCACAAGATCTTAGGTTTTGCTGATTTTTCCGTGGCAATCATTGGTTTAGACATGCTACAATATCATAATCACCTCATCGACAACATTGAACAGAGGTTAGAAGATAGAAATACATATTTGTCCGTCTGTGTAATTCCTTTCTCTGGTTGTAGGTTGTCTTCAGTCGCCGTAAGGCACGCGACCGATTCATGCTATCAACAAAAGCTCAATAAGTAGCCCGAGGAATACCGAATGCCGCCAAAATCACCGCGTATAACCAGCAATGTTACACACCACATCATGACTACAGCACCAGCAGTGTCTTCGAAGGCTCGCCGACTAGCTCCCGAAAAGCTGAGGTTGGCTAACACAGAATTCGACCACATGGTAGACTTAGAAATCAGTCGGCCATCAAACAGCCCATTGGGGTTTCTTTTGCACATGGTCCGTAAAAAAGACAGCAGTGAGTGGCGTTCATCTGGTAACTATCGGAGACTGGGTGTGGAAACCACTTCTGATCGTTACACATCGCCTCATATTCACGACTTGACGGCTACCTTGAGAAGCACAACAGTATTTTTTGGAAATCAACTCGATTAAAGCACGTAAACAAATTCCAAGATCTGCTGACGATATCCCCAAAACCGTCGTCATCACACCTTTTTGTCTCTACGAACTTTCCACAAGGCTTTTCGGCTTAAGAAATGCTCCGCAAACATTCCACAGATTGACCGATGGCATTTTCTAAGGTCTCAACTTCGCACATGTTGTTGACTGCTTGGTTGCAAGTTCGGACAAAGAATCTAATCTATAGCATCTGGACCTTGTCTCCAAAAGACTGCGAAAACACGGCATTACTCTAAGCATTTAGAACTGTCTATTCGGCGCCGACCCTCTAGATTTTTTCGAACTTGCTATTCATGCGCAAGGAATATAGCCTATAAAAGCAAAGTGACACACATTCTAGATTACCGACCACAAAAGTTAGGGAACTTGTGGCCAATGCAACGTTTCTTGCACATCATGACACTGAAGAACCCATTAGTATCGCAATAGATACATCCGACTGGGCTATCGTAGGAGTCTTACAACAATAGGTTAACTACACGTGGCATTCTTCCAGAGACGGTTGCAAGACAATGAATCGAGGTAAGGTATTGCATACACTTACTTGAACATTTTCCAAGGAATCTTACTTCATAAATTCGCTCAGCTTCAAGAAGAAGACGCCGAACTTCATCATGAGTTATCTTCGACAACCCTGAAACTACGTATTAAACAGATAGCAACAAATAAGGAAACCCTATTATGAGACACATCGACAGGTAGAGTTCGTCTAATCGTTCTGAAAAATTATCCTTGCAACGTCTTCAATACGTTGCACAAACCTTCTCATCCAGGTGTTTGTGCAACCACCAAGCTCACAGCAAAATGATTTCTCTGGTTTAGTATAAATAAAGATGTGAGAGATTGAGCACAATCCTGTGTAGGCTTTAAGAAATATTAGGCGATTAAACACAACAAATGTCCCTTAGGCTCATTCAAAACTCCCGACGCTGACTTCGACCATGGTCATCTAGATTCGGTAGAACCCCTACCAGATTCAAATGAATACTCTTATCTCTTATCTTGAGTAGACCGCTTCACTCCACGGCCAGAAGCAGTAGCTATCAAGCCTGTTGCTGCTGAAACAGTGGATCACGCCTTTATCTGTCGATGGAAAGCAAATTTCAGCTGTCCTTCAACCATCACAGCAGACCATGGACGCAAGTTAGTATCGGGACTTTTCCGTAGTCCGACCACACTATCAGGAATCACACGATTTCGAACGACCGCCTACCAATCACAAACAAACGGAAAGATAAAACGCTTTCGCTGATAACGAAATGCTTGACTTTCAGCAACATACGTTTCATAGTGAACCGATGCTCATCAACTCGTCTTACTAGGTATCCGCGATTCCGTTAAAGTTGACGTTAGATACACTGCAGCTCAACTCGTTTATGGAGAGAGACTCCTACTTCCAAAGAGAATTTGTGGATCTTTCATCTTCGATGAATATGGATCTAAACTCCTACATTAGCAGGTCTACAAATGCCATGCGTTCAGTTAAACCCTTTTCCACTCGACCGCAGTCAACTGATGTTTTGTTCAACCTGCCCTAAAATAAATCAATATGCGTCGCGACTCCCTTCGACAAACTCTCGGAACGACATATAAAAGACCCTTAGAAGTCCTTCAGCGTGAACCTAAATACTATATAATCGATAAGAACGGAAATAACGACAGCATCAGTATCGATCGCCTCAACGCCGTGTGTTTAGAAGGAAACCCTATTCGTGCTGGTTTTTCTTCGGTAAAATCGAAAGACACGAGTTTCGCAATTACGATACCATACCCAATAATCAACAATCACGAGGACAGATCGGTGGTATCGGACAATCGACTCAAAATAATGCGTCCCGGAAGAAGAGTGAGGTTTCTAGAATACATAAACTACATACATCTCGTTTCGTCCCAACTTTTTTGTATTATTGTGTCAAAAAGCAAAACAAAAACGAAATATTTTTAATATGCTGATACATATTTATTCTTCATTCCAAAGGATATAATGTTTTGTTGTTAGTATGTGTATGCTTTTCTATTTTCGAAAAGAAACAAAAACCATCCTACGAAAATCATTTTAACGTTATCGCATGTTTACGAAACGCATGTATAAAAGGTTATCTTCCTTTTTACCCCGTTTTATGTCTTTGAGTAGTCACAAGTGTAATTTGACATACACACGCATTTCTTTCATTTTTTTCTTGGACGGCTGGAATAGATGAAGAGATCGATGAAGTTTACAATGAATTTAAATAATGATTGTATCTATTTTTCATTACTATTTTGTATTACATGACTCCTTATGTTAAGAAAAGACGACCATACATTGCTGGACATTTCAAGCTATCAGAAGATTGTTTACCAATGACAAACTCGTTGAGTTTTAACTTCTGACTGACAAGGTCTGAGAGTCATCATTGCCCCGTTAGGGGGTAGTGGTTTGTAGTGATAAATAAATCCCCGAAATCAATACCTCTGTAAGTCCTCAACATCTGACGCTGACCGCATTAGTTTTACTGGACTCACCTAACTGAAGGCGTTTGGTCAAGCATCCACACCAGATCACGAGTGGATATGACATGCTTTACTTCTCCTACAATTGCTAGCCGGCTTACATTAGTCACTTCTCGACATACCGAAGTTCTATAGAATATGTCTTCAAATCTCTTCGCTTCTGGCGTCTGATTGCACTGAGTTGGCATGTTTTGATTATTAAAGTTGTTACTGGATAAGGCGTTGTCAAAGTTTGAATACTTGTGTCATCTTTATAATGTTTGCGGACCATCGCTGAGATATGAAGTTTTGTGATGAGCAGGATTTACTGAAGCTCCTAAAGGACTTCATAGTAGTATGGGCCATGAACATTAAAAAAACATTTGGTGTCTCAAAATGT